GATTTCTTTTTTTCCAGATCCCCTTTTGTTGCCAGTTCAGTGGGTCCAGGTGGTTGAGTATCAGAGTGTTCCCTCTCATTTCCCTTTGAGGTTGCTGTAGGGGATCTGGAAGTCTGGTTTTGAGACTTATTTACGTGTTTTCTCATTTCAACTTGGGGGGCGGGGGTTGCTGTTGGCACCCACGTGGCACACCTCCTCTGAGCTGGGAGTGGTGGGAGAGGGGCTGGGAGTGGTGGGAGGGATGGTGGCCTGGAAGCCCCTTCCTCTGGGCCCGGAGCAGCAGAACAGAAGGTGGCCCAAAAGCCCTTACCTCTGGGCCGGGAGCAGGGGGAGGTATGGTGGCCCGGAAGCCCCTTCCTCTGGGCCGGGAGTGGCGAGACAGAAGGGGGCCCAAAAGCCCTTACCTCTGGGCTGGGAGCAGCAGGAGGGATGGTGGCCTGGAAGCCTCTTCCTCTGGACCAGGAGCAGTGGGACGGCAGCTCAGAAGCCCCTGCCTCTAGGCCGGGAGTGGCGGGAGGGATGGTGGCCCAGAAGCCCCTTCCTCTGGGCCGGGAGCAGTGGGACAGAAGGTGGCCCAAAAGCCCTTTGAGAACATGTCCATTTATAAGCCACAGTGAAGTCAGGATGGAAATATTTATTAATTAGGACCCTCTCCCCATAAATTAGAATGTAAACTAATATACGTAAAGAGAAGAATCTCCACATACATGCTAAAACCATGTGAGTTGTACAGAATCATTTCCTCGATTATATTTGTCCGTCTGCTCAGCTTGAAGGAGAGAGATAGATGGTGGGAGAGGGTGGCAAGCGTCTGAGTCCTCCTGGTCTCAGATGAGATGGGTACTAACTTTAGGAGTTGTGTGGCCTGCACATAGACTGACTGGCCTAGAGGGACTTGGATCCCTGGTGGTTCACAGTTGCAGCACAGGAAAAATTCAGAGGAGAGACCCACTCTGGGAAGAGCAATCAGTACAGCACAAGTGCAGAGTACATGTCACCTGGAGACCTGGCTCTTCCCAGGTAGCCTCTGAGGCTGTGCCCAGGAGGAAAATAGCAGCACCAATATGGGGCCTTCTGAGAGTAGGACCTGGGAGTCATCTGAGGGGCAGGACCTGGGGGATTGTCTGAGGATTGGTGTCTGGGTAGTTGTCTGAAATTTTTGTCTAGAACTCCCTGGGGTGTAGTGATCAATATGGGGTCCATTTGCCCGATTTTCATGTGATAAGGGTAACTTTTTGTTTTAAATGAAAGCCTTGTATTATTTAAATAAATATAGTAAGATATTTTTCTCTTTTACTAATTGGTTTCCTTTATAGTGTTTGTGGAAAAAGTGCTGAAGAAACTTTTTCCTAATGTTTCAAGTAGTCAAGAAAAGGAGACACCTGGGACTCTGACCTCAGAAACACCACTCAAGAAAGTGACGTCTGAGGGAGTGAAATACAAGCATGTTCATCATTTGACAGGTGAGGTGGTTTGCAGGTAAGGATGGATTACAGACCCTCAGTTTTTTTTTCCTCAGTCTAGGGCATCTCTTTGATGAATGACTGGTGTAGAAATGTTACAGCAGTGGTCAGTAGGGCAGGTGTCATTACAAACAGGTGAGTCAAGAATTTGATGGGCCGGGGATTTAGCTCAGTGGTTCCACTGCCTGCCTCGCAACTGCAAGGTCCCGAGTTCGATCCCCAGTACCAAAAAAAAAAAAGAATTTTCTTTGGAGGGAAGCCAGTATTAGCAGTTTCCAGCCATACTCTAGACTGTAGAGTTTTGTTGTTGTTGAGTTTGTGCATGTTGTATTCTGAGGAAATTGGACTGTGGGTAGGGTTTTGGCTCAGCCAGAACAAGAAGAGTAACCTCTGCCATTGTTGCTCTGTCCCCAGTCACTGTACTGACCCCCGCTGGCTTCCTTGGTACCATTTGGCTTCTGTGCACTCAGAGACAGTGCTTGGTATTCCTTGTAGTGGTCTTCAGCAGACATCTGTCCCAGTGACACTTGGGTGGCAGGAACATCTACAGTGAGAATTCCACCAACTCTAATTACCTAGCAGTGCAACAGTGTTAACCCACTGAGAGGTCACTCTTGGAAAGTCACATGAATAGACCATGAGTGGATCTGCTTTTTTCCTGTAAATACATAAATACATAAAGCCCAACTTGGGCTCCTGAGTTCCTTTTCTTGAGATCACTTTCCTTCTTTTTAGCAGTAGTTTCTTGCTGGGTATTTGTTCTGTACATGATTCTATTCCCAAAGGCTGTTTGATCCTCTGCTAGTTCTGCTGAACGACCTTTCAAAGAGAAATTCAGTTTTATTCCCATATTTCACATCTTATAACACTCCCTCAATTGGATCCCAACAGGCAGGCTCAACAGTCTCACATACAGTATTAGCATCCTGACCCAGAACTCAGATATCCTTTTACTGTATCTGGAACACATTTTGCCAGGGAAATAATATTGTGCATTGTGACTGGATTTCCAGACAAGCCCAGTGAGCCTATTTAACCTATAATATAATGAATGTCTATAGTACCATTATGTTTTGGATACCAGTTGATATAAAACAAGTGAGAAGGAAAACATTTCCTTTACTTCTTATACATATGATATTCTTTAGGACAAATCTGTGGATTCCATGTTCCCTTTTTCTATCCTTCTCACATGACTTAATGTTTTCAAGATGTTATAAATTCTGAAGATTGCTTGAACTAATTCCTAACTAAGGAATAAATTCACTGATGTAAAATGTAATTTTTACTTTTTAATGAATATACCTACTATAGGCTGGATCACTTACTCTAAAAAAATCACATATGGAAGTCCTAACCCCCAGTACTTCAGGATGTGACTGTATTTGGAGAATGGGAATATTTAAAAGATTAAGTTTAAATGATTGATTGAGTCTGTTGGTGAGCATCTGGTTTGTTTCCAGGTTTTTGTTATGACCAGGCTCTCATGAATGTCCTTTTACATGAATATTTTCTGGGGCATATGGGCCACAGTTTGTCTTGCGGATATTCCTAGGCATAGACTCATTGTGTGATACTGTATAATAAGGTATGCATATGTTCATTTATGAAAGAAAAAGCTAAGCTGTTTCACAAATTGATTTAACTGATTTATACTCCCACCAACAGTGTATAAGAGAGCCAGTCTCACTATTATTTAATCTTGCCCAACTGCTTTATATTTGCCAAATGAATGGATGTAAGAGAAATAACTAAGAAAAATATCAGTGGCTGACAGAGTTTGAGGAGAAGTAATGCTTAGGGCTAAGAAATTACTCTATAGTACTATGATGGTGGATATATGTTACAATGCATTTGTCAAAATCCATGGAATATACAACACCAAGATTGAGCCCTGAGCCAGGGATTTAGCTCAGTGGTTTTGCTGCCTGCTGTGCAAGCCGAGGACCTGAGTTCGATCCCCGGTACCAAAAAACCCTAATGTAAACTGTGGACTTTGGATGATAATGATGTGTCAGTACACAGTCATCTATTGTAACTCAATTAGATGTTGCTACATCTCTTCCTATGTGGAGGCACAGAAGTATATGAAAACTTTCTGCTCAGTTTTGCTGTGAAAGCATAACCATCCTAAAACATAGTCTTTTTTTTTTTAGTTTCCTTCCCTTAGTAGCCATTGTTAATCCACTATATTAGCAGACTAAGAAAGAAAAAATCACATAATTTTGACGCATGAACGGTATTTAAAAGCTTAAAATCACAATAAGATACCACTTTTCTATGTTTTCAGTGATCATTTTTGCTAATTTATCACTGTTTTGCTAATTTATTAATTTCTATTTTAGCTTTCACATATCTCCTTTGTGGATATTTTGTTTTCCTTTCCTAGTTTGTATTGAATGTTTAGATAATTTGTTTTTTAGAATTTCTTCACTAATAAGTACATTTTATAATATTAAAAAAAGATTAAATGAGGTCATTAGGGTAGACTACTGTAATCTCACATGCATGGTGTCCTTATAAGGAGGAGATTAGACCACAGTTAGATACAGAGGGAAGACTGAATAATAGTGCAACTGTATAGTACATAAAAGAACTGGTAAGTATCTTCCAAGAAAAAAACTGGCCTAGAATTTATAGATAGTATTAATTTTTAACTTAGAAATGATTCATTTACACATAAAGCTTCAGTTGTTTCACCTTTTATTCATCTTTCTACCACCAGATAAGGTACTAGTGAATAATCACTATTAAAACTTTAAGTTAAAGGAGACAATAAAAAGCAAACAGATACTAAAAAACAACAAAAAAAGATTAAGAATGTTAGTTCAGTAAAAGAGCATCGTAGAATACACTTACACCAGCCTAGATAGTGTTAACCACTACAGAGTGGACTGTGGTATGGCCTCCTGCTCCTGGGCCATGCCCTTGTACATCATGTTACTGTAACTCGATGCCAAGGTTCTGTGTATCTGAGCATATCTAAATATAGAAATGATACAGTGGAAAATTTCGAGCTTCTTTATGATCTTAATGTGATTATCATATTTGATCCATTATTGACCAACATATCATTTTGCAGTTTTTGACTATATTTTCTTGCTTAAAGTAATTAAATTTTTACTTTTAAAATAAATTTTTTTTTTTTTTGTGGTACCAGGGATCGAACTCAGGACCTTGCACTTGGGAAGCAGGCGCAGTGCCACTGAGCTAAATCCCCGGCTCTTAAAATAACTTTTTAAGGATAAACATATTAAAGACCTCTCTTTTCTCTCTGAATATGACACTATAAGAAAACCTTCTTTAAACTTTTATTCACATTTTATTAAGACAAGTTGGATATACTTCTAGTAATTGCAAATAAGAAGTTTAAAACATCAGGAGTGATTATTTCAAGCTAGTGTTGAAAGACTTTTAATTTTTAAATGGTTAGGTCCATTTTGATTCAGGCAAATCTCTTTATTTAAAATTTTTTAAAATTTTATTAGTATGTGTTTAGTACATAATGTTTACATTCCTTGTGGAAAGTTGGCACATGTACATAACACATCTTAATTCCTTTTTTTTGTAACAAACTTTTTTTTATGTGAAGATACTGAATTAAAAATTGAAAGATTGATATAAAGTTGATTTCAGAATGTGTCTGTTCCCTAAATAATTTATGAGGCTTAGCTTTTTTTTAATCAAGTAAATGCACAAGTGAATGAAAGGATTGTTGGTACAAAGAGTTTTTATCTCATCTACTGGTACTCTGGGAGCTCTCTCATATGTACCTAGCAACCTAGGCTACAGGTCCAGCAGCAGAGAGAATTGCTAAGATGGAGGATTTGTGTCCATTCAACAGAAGGCTTGTGGTGTCGAACAGTCCAGGTGGAGGTGTCAAAGCAAGCCAGTGACTGGTGGGGAGCCAGCTGCATAAAAGGGCAGGCAGGGAATATACCGAGGATTGTGGGAGGGCCCAGGATGACTCCATTGGGGTGGGTGCTGTCGCCCACAGCAGCTCTCCACATGTGTGGCTTCGCAGGCTTCCTACTTTCTGTCATGACTGATGTCTCTGTTCCAACAGTAGACATCAGTGGCATGAGCAGTTAGTCCCTTAGGTTACAAGTGGCTGGGACCACTTGACCCTGGAAAGGAAAATCTTAGTTACAGTGTAGCATTATAAGGGTAGAAAGATGGCTGCATCCAGAAAGGACTCACACAAGACCTGGGAGGGCATCAGGACTTTTGTTTCTTGATATCGCCCATGACCTTTGTATTGTTCTCTCCTTAGAACCATCCTCCATTTCTCTAAGGAGGCGAACATGAGTGAGCAAACTGTGTACTGTATCACATGGCTTTAGGTAACACACACAGGTGTAGGTGTACTTGAGATTTTTTAAATTTAATTTCACAGATGCAAATATGCCTAACTAGTATGTATGTCTTTGTGAGAAAACTCTGTATAACGTGTAGTGATATATTTCCAATAATACTTCTTAACCTAAAATTTACTACTTGTCATTCCAAAGGATATCATCCAGTGGTTTTTAGTAGATTAGCAATATTGTGGAACTGTCACTACACCTAATTCCAAAATGCTTTTCATCTTAACAAGATACCCTTTATCCACTCACTCCTCATTGCTCTCTTCTTCTAGCTCCAGACAACTACTATTCTGCTTTCTGTCTCTATGGCTTTATCTCTTCAGGACTTTTCACATCAGGGGAGTCATACAATAGGTGACTTTTTGGGTCTCTTTATTTCACTTAGCTTACTGTTTTTAAAGTTCATGTTTTAGCATGTGTCAGCCCTTCATTATTTTTAATGGGTGAACAATATTTCATTGTATATACATTTTGTTTATCTATTCGCCAGCTAATAAACACTTGTTTGGTCCTATTCTTTGGCTTTTAATCAGTAATATTGTTATATGACCCAGATGTGATGGTGCATGCCTATAATCCCAGTATTCAGGAGGCTGAGGCAGGAGGATTGCCTTGAGTTCAAGGTCAACCTGG